TACCACCTCTCTCTGAATGAGGATAATTCTGGGGATATCTGTGTGTATCTTTGAATGTCGATAAGGGCAATCTGCTTTATATTTGAACTTAAATTTACTGTTTTCCCGTGGCTTCAGATGCCCTGGTTCTTGGAGGCTCTGTGACTGCTCTGACAGCACCTGGCAGGCAAATGTGTCGGCGACCAGGTCTTTGGTTATATCACCAACCTGCTTCCTCCACGCCCGGTTCCCAGCTGTGGCCTAAGATGGTCTCCTTTGCTCTGAATTGTACATCGCCATGTGGTGGAACCGTTAAGCCTTCGTCATATTTGTTATGCTAAAGTTTTGAAGTTTACATAGAATTTCACTTACCTTGCTCCTTGAAATTTTACCTATTTCAGTAGGATTAAATTATCAACCTTCTTCTATCATTCTGATGGCCCATTTTTTTCTACTAGTTTTTGTAGTTTTGATATTTGTGTGTTTGACATTTAAATCTCAGTAGTTACCATGCTACCTTCACTCATCCAGCAAATACTGGACAAGCTGTGTTTCAGGCACGGGGGGTTCCTGTAGGACGAGAGAGCATCCCCGCTCTCGGGAGCTTCGTTTTAATGGAGGAGATGCTGAGTAAGTAATCAGATCAGCGTGAAGGCTGGATAAACAGAGATGAAGAGCTTTGGGCCTTTTAGGTAGACAGGAAGGCAGGGCAGGCCCCTGTGAAGGGGGGGCGTTTGCACAAATATGGGGGAGCAGAGACGGACTGGCGCTGCACACGGAGGGGCCGCGAGTCCAAGGCTGAGGCCACAGTCGGGGGGGAGGGGCCGCAGTTGAACTTGCTGGGGCTCCTGGGGTGCTTCCTGTGAAGGGGGACCGGCAGGGAAATGGGCAGACATGCTTAGGGTCCGTGAATCCTGAGGGCGGAGGAGTCGTCCAGGCTCCCTAGGGTTCCGTTGGGAGCATCAGGGGAGTAGGTGCCATTTCAGCAGAGGGAGAGGGGACAAGTGAAGAAGCGCTTTGGTGGCAGCATCAAGAATTCCGTTCAGGTCAGGTGAGTGTGAGATGATGTCCTCAGATGTGACGAGACATGAGGCCTCTGCTCAGGGCCGGGCAGGCCTGCAGACAGGAGTTTGATTTGGGACAACTGGTGGGGGAGGGGAGAAGAAGCAGTGCTGAGCCCGGGCCTGAAGAGGGGGTGGCCGGGTGGCACAAGAGCCCGGGAAGCTGCCCCCCACGAGTGGGGGGGAGAGCTAGGAGGTTACGGGGTTCCGGAAGCCACGCCAGAAAATGTTGCTACAAGGGGAGGGCGGGACGGTACTTGTAGGCTTGGGTGTTTTGATCCGTCCGTTTTTTGTTCTCCCTGCTGGGTGAGGTCAGTGCCTGCTGTTGTCCGAGTCCTCAGGCCTCTGAAGGGGTGGGCTGTGTCGGGCTGGAAATACACTCCAGAGCCATCCTGTAGTTTTGAGAAAACGTGGAAAATAATGATAACAATTTTGAAAACTACTCAGTCTTGGCTCGGAATGTAACTGTGGTTCATTTCAGGGGTCAGAAAGCTTTTTCTGTAAAGGGCCAGATAGTAAATATTTTCACTGCTGTTACAGTGTGAAAGCAGTCATAGAAAACACATCAACCAATGAGTGTGTCTGTATTCCTAGACGCCTTTAGGACAAAAACAGGACAGAGCCAGGTTTGGCCCACGGGCTGTATGTGACTTTCCAGACCCCTGATGCTTTGGTGTCTTTCAGAATGACACTTGTTAACTGTCAGGGGTTTATGAAGCTGAAAGTACTATTCTCATGTTTTCCTTTTAAAGGAAGCCACTTAATTTGTTACTCTGTATTGTAAAACACTTCGTGGACAGTTGGATTTAATCAGCCAATCCTATTCCCCAGCATTTTAAATATCAAGCATACGCTTAAGTCTTGATGGAGTTACCTAAAAATCTGTATACGTGGAGCCACACCCCACCCCATTCTCCTGCCTCAGTTACTTTTTTCAGCGTAAGTGCTTTTAATTCTTTTCCATGATTTATGTTCTCTGAAGAAGAACCTATGAATTATCTAAACTGGGTTCCCTAGCATATGTAAAAGCTTTTAAGGTGTGCAAAGGCTTCTTAATCTGTGTTCCAGTGACTGAGGGTCAGCGTGCACATAACACAGGAGCTACGCAGCGTATGCACCACTAGCCGTTCTCTTCATGTAGCTGTTTGGGTAGTGTGAAGACACATGAAAAAACAGCCAAGGAAAGAAAAACACCAATGTTCTCTTTGCTGTTCAGACTTGGGTGATCCCATCCAAAGGATGAACAAATTACGGGGTATGAATTTATATGTAAAAATATTTAGGTCCTGGCTTGACAGGTTCCTAGTGTGAGAAAGGAGCTCCTGGTGCAGCGGGGCTTCACCTGCAGCCCGTGAGCCCCTGGAAGCTGTAGGCCACACCGCGTGTGTGTGTGCATGCGTGTGTGTGCGCGTGGGTGCACGCTTGCACACACGTGCGTTTCTCTGTCTTGTCCGAGTGTCCAAGGTTGTCATGAGACCCCGGCAGAGTCCGCCCCCCGGGACGGCCGTGCCCCGCTTCCCCAGCGAGCGCCTCACCTGTCTGCACCTCAGCCCTGCTGCTCCCCACATTTGTGTGACTTTATCAAGTCAGTTTCTCTGAACCTCAGGGCCTGCTTTCTTTCTCCTAACATTGTAAAGCTCCAAAAAAAAAGCACTTTTGAATTGTAAAGTGTCCTATAAGTGTTTGTCTGTGGCGTTATACCACGAGAACACTGCATCCAGGGGGAGCATTTGAGTGGTTGGAGTGAGCTGGGGGGAGGGTGGTCTCAGCAGGTGGTCCCAGAGCCCCGATACCCCGTGGCCTGAGGCCTGCTCAGGGCGCTGTCCCCTCACCCTGGGCCACAGCTTTTCCTGAGAACAAGATGGCCCAGTACCAAGACCATCTGTTGGGAAAGAATAGCCTTTTCAGCAAATGTTGCCGAGACAACTGGACATCCATATGCAAACATATCACATATAAAAATTAACTAGAACCGGGGAGTGGGCAAAATGGGTGAAGGGGGTCAAAAGGTACAAACGTCTAGTCATGCAATAAATAAGTAGTGAGGATGTAAGAGCAGCATGGTGACTAGAGTTAACAATACTGTATTGTATATTTGAAAGTTACTAAGAAAATAGAGTCTAACAGTTCTCATCAGAAAAAAAGAATTTTTGTAACTCTGTGGTGATGGATATTAACGAGACTTATCAAGGTGATTATTTTGCTATATATACGTATATCAAGTCATTATGTTGTACACCTGAAATTAATATAATGTTGTATGTTAATTATATCTTGATGAAAGAAAAAAACCACAATGACATACCATTTCACACCCACTAGGACGTCCATAATCAAAAAGCCAGACCACGAGAGGTACAGGTGGGCGTGGAGAAACTGGAGCCCTTATCACTGCAGGGGAGACTGTGAAATGGTGCAGCCAGTTTGGGAAACGGTCTGGCAGGTCCTCGAAATGGTACACACATGACTCTAGGTATAGATCCAAGAGAAATGAAAATATGATGTGTGAAAGAAGCCAGTCACTAAAGGCCGCATATAGATGTGACTCCCTTTAGATGAAGTGTCCAGAATAGGTAGATCCATAGAGACAGAAAGTAGGTCAGTAGCTGTCAGGTTGGGGATGGACGGATGGGAAATGAGCCCCGATCGGTACAGAGTTTCTTTTGGGGATGAAGAAAACGTTCTGGAATTAGATGGTGGTGATGATTGTAGAATGCTGTGAATATACTGAAAACCACTGAGCTGTAAACTTTAAAAGGGTGAATTTATGGTATGTAAATTTCATTGCAATAAACTGTTATGTAAAAAGAGTAAAATAGCCCCAAATCTTGCTTTCTTGGCTTTGAAAGATTGTGGGTGAAACATACTTTTTTCTGTTTTGTCTCACGGTTGCCTGTGAGCTTTACTGACCTAGAGAACAGGGGTGAGTTCTGTGACCTGAGTCAGGTCCCTGACGGGCAGGCCCGGAAGTTTCCTGAATGCCCTGAGCCAGGGACAAGGCGGCAGAAGGAATCGGGGGACGCTCGGCCCAGAGAGGGGCTTCCAGGGGAAGCTGAGGCCTCAGCAGACGATGGGGAGTGTGGCCGCGTGTCCAGCTGTATTTGGCCTGTGAATAAACCAGAGACGGAGAATTTCAGCGTTATTAGTTTAGGAGATTTGAATATTCGGTTAATTTGTTTATTGTGCTTAGAAATGATTTAAGAAAAAAGCACATCAGTCACATTTATTTTTAAAGAAAACACTCGAGAACTGCAAAACACTGAATTATTCCTTAACACACTCTTCTTAAAAGTCAGTCAACTCAATATGCATTGGCATCTTTCTGTATTCAGTGTGTTTTATAATTAAAAGATATGTCATGTATATAGTATACTAAAAAGTCAATCTTGTAGCTTAATTAAAAATAGAAAATAAAACAGTTCTTTTTAAAATCAACTGTGTTCTCATGTTCTCAAACTTACCTGTGCATAAAAGTCAACTGGGACTCATTAAAAATGTGGGTTTCCTAGGCTCCCCAAGAGGTTGGTTCCACCTGAATTTTTCAGGAACACCCAGGTCATTCTGAGGAGCAGAGGTGTGCACTTTGAAAAGCACGGCCCTGGGGACTTCAGCCTGGAGTTAGGAGGTGATGTACGTGGTCAAAGTGTTCCTCACGTTACCGTAGGTCATTAATACCTAGTTCTTAAGGTATTTTGCAGCCACTTGATGTTAGAAGCAGATGACATCCATATTCTGATTCTGCTGCGAGAGAATAATATTTCCTCACAAGCATAATGTTTCACAGTAGGAGAAGTTGCGGTCTGTCCCGCCTGAAGCGCAGTTGTTGCCGGTGCCCGTTCACGTGGTCCCGTCTTCCCCTGCGCCTTTGTTGCTGGCGCCCGTTCACGTGGTCCCGTCTTCCCCTGCGCCTTTGTTGCTGGCGCCCGTTCACGTGGTCCCGTCTTCCCCTGCTCCCTCCAGATTTCTTTTGACCTGGCTGAATACACTGCGGACGTCGATGGGGTCGGCACCTTACGGCTTCTGGATGCAGTGAAGACCTGTGGCCTTATCAACTCTGTGAAGTTCTACCAAGCCTCAACAAGCGAGCTTTACGGGAAAGTGCAGGAAATACCGCAGAAGGAGACCACTCCTTTCTACCCGCGCTCGCCATACGGTGAGGATGCGCACGGGCTTGGTTCTCTGTGCTCCAGGGGTGCTTCCGCCTGGACGCTGTTCCTGTCTCATGGCTGAGGTCACGTGGTGTGAGAGCAACGTTGAAGCAACCTAAAGGGGCCGGACTTGCTGGTCAGACACCTTTGTGTTGGGCTCACTGCAGGTTTTTTTTTTATCTATAAATTTATTTATTTTTGGCTGTGTTGGGTCTTTTTTTTTTTTCTTTTTAACACCTTTATTGGAATATAATTGCTTTACAATGGTGTGTTAGTTTCTGCTTTATAACATCACCGCAGGTTCTTGCTGCCGTCTCCTCCAGGGTGAAACCTGCTGCACTGCTACCCTTCCAGATGGGCCGCTTTAAAAGGAAAATTAGGTCCAGCAAGATTCTTTTTACTGAACTGTTGAGGTTGTGCTGAAGTGATACGGCCTGGTGTTTTTGATTCCATTTCCCTAATGAAATTCTCCCTGAGCTCAAACCCTTAAACAAACAAACAAAAATGATAAAAATTGAAAGCCGCTAGAATATTAAGCTCCCGTATTTTTCACTTCCTAATTCTTTAAAACTAAGAAAAAGGGGATTAGCCCTAAGAAAGGTCAGTTTGATATACTGCACATACTGCAGTTGAGCGAATTAGATTGTGAAGGAACGAACTGTGATTATTACAGAAGGACGAAATTCCTAAGTATTTCCTTGTCACGTGATTAACTGGCAAAGAAACCTTTATTTTGTCTTTGGCTTTTGATTCATTTTTTTCCCTATCTTGATACATTACATATTGTAAATATTGCACGTTGTTACTTGTTTAAGTGAAAATGGCTGTCTTTTATAATAAGGCACTGTCTTTTATAACAATCAGTGTCTTTTATTTGCTTTTAAAAAATTATTCCAACAGGGGCAGCAAAGCTCTATGCCTATTGGATTGTGGTGAACTTCCGGGAGGCGTATAATCTGTTTGCAGTGAATGGCATCCTCTTCAATCATGAGAGCCCCAGGAGAGGTTGGTATAGGTACTGATGGGAAGAGAGTGTCAGGCTCCACGGCTGGAACGTCGTGTGTGTGTGTGTGTGTTCTGCACGTGTGCTGTACAGACTGGGAATGTTTCACATCTGTTTTTAACTATGTGAATGTCAGAAGTGGTAAATGAGGAAATGTAAACCCAGCTTAATCACCTATTAACTTCGTTAGAGTTTTTATTCAACGTGGTGCCGAGCAGTGTCCCAATTTTACCATTTCCTTTGGTAGGTCGCATCAAGTGAGTTTTAACCCGAGTGTCAGGAAGTGTCCTTGGGATGCAAGGAGCTGAGCAGGAACCAGGGCTCTTTCCCCAAGTCACTGTCACTCATGAAGGCTCTACCTGTGGCGTCTTTCTGTTTTTACTTTGAATCCATTGGATATTCAGTATTCTTATTTTACATTCCATTTAAACAGACATCCGGAAGTTTCTGTGCTTCTAGAGTATTTGTCTTAAGATACGTTTAAATCATTTCTTATATTTAGAATCGTTATTGGGTGTTTTTTTTCCAGAAAATCATATTTGTTTGCATTGGCTTGTTTCCTTTTCGTGGTTGTCATTGAGACTATTAGCAACATGCCAGCTCTCCTGTTGCAGATACTAGGTTTTAAGTAAGAAAATGTGTACTCCTTTCATTACTTCTGACTTACTGAAGCATGAGAAATCTTTACCAAACATGTGCACTCTACAAAGTAAAAGTTATCTGTATAATCTAATTCTAAGAAGTTTTATTAAATTTCACTATCATTTAGCCTTTTAGCTTGAGAATGAATGAGAAATCCAACGTCGTAAGTTGTTTCATGCCCAACAATTAGTAATGCTTATAACTTCGTCAGTGAAATTTTATGTGACTGTGTAGCCACGTAATTAAACCAGCAAGTCATGAGGAAAGATTAAAGTGACATTTATACAGGTGTGTTTAGTGGCAATACATTTTTATTTCATAATTGCGTAAGTTAAAAATTCCCACGATGGGCTGTGGAAGCTGTTGTTGGAAAGGAAAGTGAGTGACCGGGCAGCCAGGAATGTTTCTTTCACTCAGCTCCATGGTTCTGGATGTCCTGACTAGAGGGGAGGAGAAGGAAGGCCTCAGCTGTCCTTGCCTCCAGACTGGGCGGCAGTGTTGGGGATCGACCGTCAGGCCTCCTCAGTCGCAGACGTGTTGGTGCATTTTGTCTGGGTTTCTCTGCTTCCCCCCTCAACTTTTCCACTGGCAAAAAAGAAATACAGCTCAATTGTTTCGGGTGAGGTTAGGATAGGGAAAAACATTTAGTTGTAGAAGAAGGAGACAAATTTAAGTGTAACCCCCCATCCTCTATTTGCATACCTCCTAATGAGAACTTTTTTCTCTTTGTTGATATTAATCACTTTTTAAAAAAATTTATTTTAAAAGTAATATTTCTTTTTAAAAATTAATTTTTTTATTGAAGTATGGTTGATTCAGGTGTTAGTTTCAGGTGTACAGCAAAGTGATTCAGATATAGATATATATAAAATTCTCAGATTCCTTTCCCATATAGGTTATTACAAAATATTGAGTACAATTCCCTGTGCTGTACAGTAGGTCCTTGTTGTTTATCCATTTTATGTATAGTAGTGTGTATGTCATTCCCAGATTCCTAATTTATCCTCCCCTCCCACCTTTCCCCTTTGGTAACCATAAGTTTGTTTTCTATGTCTGTAAGTCTGTTTCTGTTCTGTAAATACGTTCATCTGTATCATTTTTTTTAGATTCCACATATAACTGGTGTCATATGGTATTTGTCTTTGCCTGACTTACTGCACTCAGTATGATAATCTCTAGGTCCGTCCATGTTGCTGCAAATGGCATTATTTCTTTCTTTTTTATGGCCCAGTAATATTCCATTGTATATATAGGTACCACATCTTCCTTATCCATTCATCTGTCAACGGACATTTAGGTTGCTTCCATGTCTTGGCTATTGTAAATAGTGCTGCAATGAACATTGGGACGCATGTATCTTTTTGAATCATAGTTTTGTCTGGATATATGCCCAGGAGTGGGATTCTAGGATCATATGGTAGTTCTACTTTTACTTTTTTAAGGAACCTCCATACTGTTCTCCATAGTGACTGCACCAATTTACATTCCCACCAGCAGTGCAGGAGGGTTCCCTTTTCTCCATACCCTCTCCAGCATTTATTATTTGTAGGCTTTGTGATGGTAGCCATTCTGACTGGTGTGAGGTGATACCAAATGGGACCTAATTAAACTTAAAAGCTTTTGTACAGCAAAGGAAACCATAAACAAAATGAAAAGACAAGGTACAGGATGGGAGAAAATATTTGCAAGTGATGCAGCTGACAAGGGATTAATCTCCAAAATATACAAACAGCTCATACAGCTCAATATCAAAAAGCAAACAACCCAATCAAAAAATGGGCAGAAAATCTAAGTAGACATTTCTCCAAAGAAGACATACAGATGGCCAACAGACACATGGAAAGATGCTCAACGTTGTTAATTATTAGAGGAATGCAAATCAGAACTGGAAGTAATGCTTCTTTTTTTTATTTTAAAGAAAAGTAAACAGTACAGGAGGGTATAAGGAGAAAAGAGTTCCCTCCCTCACACCGACTCCCAGCCCCATCCTCAGGCCCACTGTTGACTTTCCTTCAGAAGTGGCGCAAGCGTCTCCACCTCAAACATAATAGTAGGCCTGCACCTACACAACAGTAGGTAGTTCCATACATAATGCTCTGCGTCTAGGGCTAAAGGTTTCTTAAAAACATGACCTGTAGCTCACACCACTTTGTTTTATTATGTATCTAGAACCAGTGATACCTCAGTTTTTATTTCGTTTATATAATCGAATAATGGGAAATAATGAAAATAGAACATATGTGAAACTGATACTTATCTGATATCTAATAGTTAATACTTAGAGCATTTCTTGAAACTTGAAAATTAATTTTCATATTAAATTAATCTGATAGTAGTATTGTTGTTTTGTCACAGTTAATTGTTATTTTTTAAGGAGGTTCTTTGCCAGACTGAGAATTTCTTCATGGTAGGGACTATATTATGTTCTTAAGTCCGCAGCATCTAAAACAGTGCCTACCTGCTAATAAGCATTCAGTAAATATTATATAAGTTTCAGGTGTACACCATAGTGATTCACAGTTTTTAAAGGTAATACTCCATTGTAGTTATTATAAAATATTGGCTATATTCCCTGTGCTGTGCAATATATTCTTCTAGCTTATTTATTTTATACATAGTAGTTGGTAGCAAACTGTTTTGAAGTAAAGATTCTGTCTGATATACTTTAGTAAGTACCCAGAATTCACTTTTAATTGCCGCTAGCTTGTACGCCTGTGATTGCTCTAGTACTTTGAGTGAGTTTATTTTCTTAAGTTGGTTGAGCATTTGTCTGCACCTCAGTCCTTTCACCCTTTTATCTCGGGGAGCACTTTTTTCTAGTTGCTGCAGTGGTAAACCTCGGTCTCATCTAAGGTACATCATCACAAACGCCCGATTAAGTAGAGCCCAAACGGATGCTACTTTTTTGGGACATGTACTTTTTCTCTAACAAAAAACAATTGGCAAGGCCCATTTTGACTGCATGAATAACATTTCATGAGAATTCCAGACTTTAAAAGGTATGGAAGAAGTATTTTTTAATACAAAGATATTCTAGACCAGAGCTTGGCAAACTATGGCTGGTGGGTCCAGTCCAGCCCACCTGGTTATTTTTGTAAGTGAAGTGTCCTTGGAGCCCGGTAACGTCCAGGTGTTACACAGTATCCGTGGCTGCTTCCACGGTGGAGGCCTGGGTCCTGCAAAGCCCCAAATGTTGACTGTCTGCCCTCTAAGAAAACGTCTGCTGCCCCCCTCCCCCCAGGGGAATAGTTAGACCCTCAACAGCAAGAAACGGTTCACTTGGGTTTAGTATGGGTTTCTCCCGAGGCCGCAAGATAGTCTGATAGAAAGATTTCCAATAAACATTAAAGTCACATTGAGTCAGAAGTTAACCCACCCGTAGCAGAACTCCTGAAGTGTGTTGTCAGTTGGAGGTTCCCCTGTGCTTTGCCGAAGTACCAAGGGGGCACCCAGGTGACCTGGCAGCTGAGCGGGACCCAGCAGTCCTCCCTTCAGGACGCGCTGTCACCAGGCTTCGGCCGCAGTGTGTGTCTTTTCTCCTTTGCAGTCCTCGGTGGTTCTCTTTAAGGATGCTTACTTCGTTATGTGATGAGAAGTTCATGGTAGCTCTGAAGGTAGTCAGGGTCACCTGTGGTTGGCACAGAACTGACAGTGGGGAATCACTGACCTAGTGAAGAAAGCCATGATCCGGGGACGGGGCCCGTTTCCCTCCGCCATCTCTGCTCATTCTTTCAGTGACGGCTGGTTGGCTCACGTGCTCATGCTTTAGGTTTGCTTTTTAGAAAGTGTAGTCACTCGAGTAACATTTACTGCAAATTAACAGTGAATGATAGTTTAAATTCTAGAATTATATGTCCATAAAGGCATGAAAATGTCTGTATCATCATATGTTCTGTGAATAACTACCACTATGTATTATATAATGATATTCACAGACATTAACATGGTGCTTTTATTCATAAGCACTCAGCTTTTCAAAATAAAAAAATGTACTGTTTAGGAGAATAGTTGCTTTATTTCATGGATAAATTGTGCAAAACTGGACACGTATCTGAAAAACTTTTTCTTCTCCTTTTGTTTCTCCAAGCTTGAACTTCTTTATCTGTTTAACTTATGTATTTCTACATCTACATGTACATAAATACATGTAGCATTCTGTTAGCCACAAATGTGGCAGTGGTGCCACCTTTCTGCTGAAAATACAGATTTATATATTCTCTATTTAGGAAATAAAGGCTGTGTTTATTGTCTAGAACTGTTACATTTTTTTCTGTGAGGAAAATGTCATATGCAAAAATCTTTTTGCTTTTGTTGCTGTTTCTTTGAAAAGCTAATCAGTTAATAAGACTGATGTCACAAA